TGAAAGATATCTGATTTCTACCTGCGCACGAGAATCCAATCCTATTCTCATTTTTCGCGAGATGAGCCAGTAGGCCCAGCCCACCTGTCCAATTGAGTAATTATTCCCTTTTTTTTAATGGGTGTACCACACACACACAAACGCAGTTAACTGCCTTATTAGCTTCTACCGGTCACACAGTTTTGCTATTTCCTTTAGGTAACACTTTTTCCTAAGGACTCATCATTTATAAACTTTTCTTTCCTCCTTATTTCCTACTTCTGTTCCATCATCCTTCTGCCCATCTTTCTCCTACCCTCCCTCCCTCCCAACATTCCTTCTTTCCTTTATCTTTACCCCTGTCCTCCCTCCCCTTTTTCTCCTTTCCCACCTTAATTTTTTTCTTCACTTCCTCCCTCGGACCTGCTTTGCTCCCTCCCCCATTTCTCCCTTCTTCCCATTCTCCTTTTGAGCTCTACCGGCTCCCCTTTAAAACTTTTCTTCCCTCACTCTTTCTCTCTCATCCACATTCTTCTCTACTTACTTCTACTATTTTAATATCTATCTACCTGCCTAATTATTCACTATCATTTATCTTTTTTCTTTTCTGACCCCTACTTTTAAAATCTGTCCCCAGTACACAACTATACTTGATTTTCATTATAGCTCCTACAGTTCACTCACACATCCTCTTTCCTTCTTTAACTCTGCTCTCTACTGACTCCTTTATAAAGTTCTTCCCTCCCTCCTTCCCTTCTTAAAGCTTCCGTTGGGGGTCGGGGGGCTGTTAACCCCCAGCCCAGGGCTCAGCCCCAGCCAGGTGTTCGCTGCCTGCCCCCCTTCCCCGGCCTCCTTGCTGCTGTCCTGCTCCCATTCCGCCGGGCCCAACGAAGGTGGCCGAGGCCTGTGCAGCCTGGGCACTGCTGCCACGAAGTAGGAGCGCCTCCACCCAGAAGGCCTCAGACCGTCCTCCACTCTGTCCCAGACCCGTAGGCGCCTCCCCGCCAATGGCCGCCACCGCCCTCCTCCTGCATCTGGGAAGGGCTCCCTGCTCCACACCACCTGCGCCCCGTCCCTCGCCAGGTGCACCTGCTCCGCCTCCTCCTCCCTCACCCCCAGCGGTCGTCACCCCCTTCCGCATGCAGTTTCCTTCCCTTTTTCATTCCTGCATCTTTTTCTTGTTCCCTTCCTGTATTTCTGTTTCTCCTCTCGGCCTGTCTGCATGCAGGCCTGCCTTCCTCTCCCTCTCCTTTCTTATCCCCTCCTATCCTATCCTATCCTATCCTATCCTATCCTATCCTATCCTGGGCCTTGCAGCTGCCTGAGCAGAGGGCAGGGATGCAGCCTGCTGATCCAGTCGTGATGCTGTAACAGACAAATTTGCATATTCCTCTATTATTAGATTAGATGTATAACACTTCTCTTGTGCTTTGTTCTTAAAATTGATAGTTTACACTTGACATTTTACAGTTATACGCCCAGATTTCTCTCTCACTGGATTTAGATTGGATGTATCCAGTGGTCTCTAACATCTATCTCCACTTGGACGTCTAATGCAAGCATGTCAAACTCAAACTCTAACACGGGCCAGATAAACAAGGTTTAAGTTTATGCGGGCCGCAAAAAAACAAAGCTTCAATTTTCATAGAAACATCGGTTTATTTCAGTAGAGGCATATGAATACAAAGGGCTGAAATAAATGAGTAATTGTTAACATAAAATAATAGAACATTTTAATAAAAATTAATATTTTTTCTTGAACATTAACTTACCAGACACTGAATAACTGCACAAATTAATAAGCATAACGCAAATCGACCTATTTTTCTTGTTCTTCAAAAGCGAAATATTTCCTGTTGCGCACAACAAACAAGTCAGTCCAAGAGTAATGACATGGCAATTGGCTGCTAAATTATTTGCTGCTAGTATTAGTGGAGAGAAATGGTGCGCCTGTGCATAAGGTGTGTAAGAGAAATGGATGCAACACGATTATAGTAATCAGTCATTAGTGAATGTTGTAGTTCGTTATTAACTATTATATATAACAGGATATTGTAAAAATTAAGTTGTGAAATTTTTATTAAAACGTTTCTTACATACCATTATATTGGCTGGGCTGCAAAAATATTCGTTGTGGGCAGCATGCAGCCTTAGGGCCGAGAGTTTGACATGCTTGGTCTAATGGGTACCTCACGCTTAGCATGTCCAAAGTGTAATTGTTGGTTCACCACCAATACCCAAATCTTCTCTTCCCCTATCTTCCCTTTATCATGCTAAAAACCTACACAGCATTATTGATTCCTTTCTCTCTTCCCACACTTGATCCATCAGATTCTGCTGGTGTGGCCTCTAAAATATATCCTGATTCTGGCCACTTTATCTTATTGCTACCACCCACTGGAATCCACGGTTTTCTCTCTCTCATACCTCAGTGGCCTCTCTACTATTCTCCCTTGTGGCTCTTCTCTATACAGCAGCCAGCGTGAGCCTTTAAAGACGTAGGCCGATGTCTTCCTTTGCCTAAAACCCTCTAATACCTTCTAGCTGCATGTAGAATCTAACCCAAGAATATAGACCTGGGGCCAGGCTTCCTAGACTCAGGGACACTCTCAGCTCAAATGGGGCTCTTCCTAGAGCTTGGCCCTGCTGACCATCCCCTTACTTACCTTCAGATAGAACCCTGTTTTATCTGAAAGGGCCCTATTCACTTGTTTACCTGCTATCGTCTACCTCTGCCACTTATAATGGAATCTCCAGGGAGCGGGGACACATCTGTCTTGTCCTTGCTTCCCCTCCAGCACCTAGTGTAGGACTTGGCATGTAGTGTCTTCCAATACATGTTTCCAGAGGATGAGCAAACACTGTTGACTTTGTTTCTTTCTATAAGAACTACTGTGATTTTTTAAAACTTTCCTTTTCAAACTTGGCTTAGAGTAAATAATGACTTTATCTAATGTATGTATAAATTATTTGTTTGATTTTTATAATCCTACAAATAGATAGCCTACATTATACCCTGGATAAAAACAAAAATGAGGAAGATGATTCTCAGAAAGACACGTCCAAAAACGTTTGCACTAATTCTGACTGTGAAAAACCAGTGCTTGTACAGACAGAACCGGAACCATTGGCTGAGAGCAAGGAGGAAATATCGAAAATTGAGAGAGATGGACTCGCGCCCCAGCCAGGTGATGGTAAGTTTGCTCCGATTTCCATTGTTCAAATAATACCCATGTGCTTAGACACATGATGCTGTTAGTAGATTTGTGATCACTACCTGGTTCTGGGTTCCTCGTATTCTTGTTTATATTAAAAATATAAGCCACACACTTAAATACCAGGTGGCGGGGAGAGCAGAGCTGCTGGCACTCAGACATCACCAGAGAGCAAACCAGCACCTGGCTGCCCTGCTCCAGACCTGCTGCCCGCCTCAGTTTCCCACTTCACACAGCGACCCGGGCCCCTTCACACAGCGACCCGGGCCCCTTCACACAGAGACCCAGTTCCCTTCACACAGCAACCCGGTTCCCTTCACACAGCGACCCGGTTCCCTTCACACAGCGACCAGGTTCCCTTCACACAGCGACCAGGTTCCCTTCACACAGAGGCCCGGGCCCAGCAACTTGGTGGTGTGAATATTTGGGAGGTTCTTTGGGGCCAAATGGTAAAGTTGACAGATTATTAACTGCCATTAGCAGATAATTAATTCTTTACATATGAATTTCTTTTAAATGCCTACAACTAATTGGCATATTTTAAATTTAGGGTTTGGGGTTTTGTGTGTTTTTGGTAAAGAAAATTTTTCTGAGGAACATAATTTCAAGACTGCATGAATCAAGTGATCACTTTGTTAAGGATGTAAATGTTGAATAACTATGTTTGTTGTATTCTGGAGACTAATATAATGTATATTAACTATAGTTTAACTTTTTATAAAAGACTTTATGAATCATGACTGCACTTGGAGCCAACCACATAGTGTTTCAGATTTATTTACTTTGGGGTTGATTCCACTTATTATTTATAGCTGTGATAGTTGGCAAATACTAGTCTATATGTCATGCATCACTATCTTTATGGGCCAGCTGGCAAGAGATTGTGAGTGCTTTCGGGTTATTTTCTTTGTTATTCAGTTTGTGACCACAGTAACTCACTGGGCTAAGTCCTCTTGCTAATGGTGTGGCCTTGGGCAAGTGAATGTGCCTCAGTTTCCCCCTCTGAATAATGCACTACTTGTTTCTGAGAGGTGTTAATGTATGTGTTGAGCCCAGTGCATGGAACATGGTAAGTACTTGGTAAGTGTTAACTATAATTATTTAGGTCGGCGTTGATAACCCTGTCTTTCCTACAGAATATGTTGGTCAGTGGAACTGAGAAAGGGATATATGAAGAGCTTGTGAGGAGAGAAGGTGTCCCCTCGTTTCCCTTTGTGAATGTGAGGCGAAGCCGCAGGGAGTCGGGCACTTACGGGGCCCTCACTGGGTGGTACTGTTGCTGCTGATCAAGACGGTGCCCTTTCAGCCTCCACTTAAATCAGCTCTAGCAGAAGTCTAGATGCCAGACTCCTTCCCTCGCGGTGGCAGGAAATGCTCCCTTAGGCCTGACTTGTAACGCTCAGCTCATTCTGAATGTGTTTCTTTCTTCCTGGGTCACTAGTAAAAGTGCAGAGCCCCTGGTGCCGGGGAGGCCATGCTCCGAGCTGCCTCCCTGCGTCCTGTTCAGGCCCAGGCCATGCTCTCCGGCACAGATGATATACTTGGTAAAACTGGTTTATCAGCCAACCCACAGAAGACTGGATTGAACTATTTTGGATAGAGGGTAGATGGGCCTTCAGGTTCTCTTTCATCTCCTTGTTTAGAACAGTCGAAGCATGCAGACCCTCAGCCAGTGTACGGCACCCTCATGTTTCGTGCAAGTAGGAACACCGACCGGATCCACCTCTACACCAAGGTAAGCATCCTGCCGGTCCTGTGGCTTGAATCATGCAAAAGGCTTCCTTTTTTCCTGTTTCAATGAGATATTTAATTTTATTAGCAAAGAGATTGGCACCTAGTTCCTTTTCTCCTTAAAGCTAGTCCTCAGATCCCGATGGTAAGTCAGAGAGGCAACCACCATAGTAGGCAGGAGCTCAGACTGCAGCACCAGAACCTCAGCTCAGATCTGTGACTAGCTCTGGAGTCGGACACCTCACTTCATTGTTCCGTGCCTCAGTTTCCTCAGCTGTGATACGTGGAGAGGAGCTGTACCAGGATCAAAGGAGCTGATTCCTGCAGAGCACTCAGCACAGTGCCCACCACAGTGCCCTCTCACAAAATGCCAGCTCCTGCCTGACCACTTGTAGCAGCAGCGACAGCAGCGTCTGTACCGAGCCTCCGCCTGTCCATCTGTTCACTGGACTCCATGGCGATATCATGGAAGGGTTGCTCAGGTTCTGGCCAGAGCCTAGGCTGGTGGGGCTCAAACTTTCATCTCAGGACCTCTGTGCACCCCTAAATTCATTGAGGACCCCAAAGAGCTTTTGTTTATGTGGCTTATATCTATTGATACTTACTATATCTAAAATTAAAATGGAAACACCTAAACATATTCATTTATTGTTTTATTTAAGAGTAGCCATAATATAAATGTACATATTTATATCAGTAGCCTATTTTCATGAAAAACAATTGTGTTTTCCAAAACAAAAATAATATTTAATGAACATTTACATTTGTAGCAATTTTCTCTAAAGTCTTAATAGAAGACAGTGGGATTCCCAGATCTGCCTGTGCATGGAAAGCCACTGTACAGTTGTGACAGAATGAGAACGAAAAAGGCAAATCATGTTTTACTGTTTTTACATCAACTTTTTGACGTGTGGATCCCCGGGAAGGAGCAGGGCCATGAGAGAACCCTTGGCCTGGGTTAACTGGTCTGAATATTTGAGGAAAAATTGCTGACGTTATGAATACTTTTGTTTGGACTGCAGTTTCAAATTCTAATCTCTATAAGAAAATGATATTTATAACTTTTTAAACTCATGGGCCATTCTACCGGAAGAATGCCTTTTTAAAGATAACTGTGTTGGAGCTGCGCAAACTCAGTGCCATGTTATCTACTACACCAGATATATAGACAGACGGCGCTCTTTGTAATAATTTCCAGTTCTAGCTGAAGATTGGAAGAGCTGGATCGAAGAGCAGGAGGTGGGGAGGGTCATGAATACAAAATCGCCGAGCAGCCCCCTCATTGGCCCACAACCTCTGTCCTGGGGCCACACCGGGAGAGGGACCCCGGGCAAAGCCAGGCAGTCAGCAGTGCTCCTCTGATAGCTGGACCCCAGCCCTAGACCCGGGAGGAGCGCCACGGGCGTCTCTGCTCCCCCAGGCAGACCTGAGCCTGAACCACCCTCGGCCCCTGGGAGCGAGCGCCAGGCCACGCTTCTCTGACCATCACATGGGAGCAACAGGGAACTGACCCCAGGTGGGTTTGAGGGTCAAGAAGCCAAAAGTCGGACACCGGGCGGAGCACACACAGGAATTCAGAAGCTCTTAGCTCGATACTCTGTGGAGTGGACGCTGTGCTTCCTGAATCATCTGGTTGGTGGTTCTCCCCTTCGGGTGGAGGCGGGGGAGAAACTGCCAGCTCCTGGCAGAGGCACAGGGGCCGGCTGCCCGGCCAGGTGCAGCCACAGCCTCGCCACCCCTCCTGGCTCGGCCACCAGCCTGGCAGCGTGGCCGCCTCCTGTTCTTGACATCTCTCTTAGCAGTTTCCAGTGCATTTGTACGACCACTCTAAATACTTACATGCCCCTTTACCATAAAACATTATTCAGTTATTTCCTACACACGAGACACGAAGCAGATGGAATGCTAACAGGTCTTTTCACAGCTACAGCAGAGTTGAGATGAGATCTTTCCTTTTGACCTCCAAAGAGCTGAAGTAGAATCTGGATAAAAACCAGCTCGCTGCCTAAAAGGACACCGCTTAAAAGGAAGAGCAGTGACAGCCATTTAGCCACTGATGTCATTAACATGTAACTCTAAAGAACTGTCCTTGCAGCCAGAATCCCAAGTCTGATTGAGTTTAGAATAACAATTATGTATCTAAACTTTGAATCCGCATGTAATTTCTTTTTGTGTTTTTTCCCAAAGCAATTGTGGGAGCTGGAGCGCTTTCTTTCAGCCGAGAGAGTTCGAATATGATTCGACTCTTGTTGCTATACTTTCATATGCAGAGATTCTTCTCCCCCTTTATAAAGAAGTACTTCCTGCTCCAGCCTTGTGTTTAGCTGACTACCCCTCTGCGTGGTATTTTCCCTGAGCAGCGAACTCACTGAGGCATTCAGAGGGCCCCGGGGAGCCTTCCTCGCTCCTCCTCTCAGCGTCCTTTCTGGGGGGCTGTGTGGGTGGTGGGATCTTGGGAGACTGGGCTATTATGTCATAATACAATTCTTTACTTTTAAAATAATTGCTGGTGCCTACAGACAAAATGGATTGACAATGCCTTCTTAATCTATAATCAGGATGGGAACCGGATGAACTGCAATTTCATTCCTTTGGATATAAAATTAGACCTTTGGGAAGATTTGCCAGCAAGCTTTGAGCAGAAACAAAATCGCTCCCTGGTAAGAACAGTTCTGTGAATTTGTTGTAAATTAAAATCTGAGTAATGTTAATGACCATTTCGAGTTTAATAAAAGTGGAGCACTCGTGGCCTGTCACAGAATTCCCGTCACCGGCCGCGCCTGCAACTTACCCCGCTGCTCAGAATATCTGTGAGCTCGGTTTCCGTGGTGAGTGATCACACCCAGGGTGGCTGCTTCCATGGATTGAATCATCCTCACATTTAATGCCTCATTCACAGGAGTTTCAGCTGTGATAGTAGTATCTGTCAGATCACACTTTATCTGTGAGGGCTCAGTTCTAACCTGACAGGTTCTGAGAGCGGAGCTGAGACCATGCGGGGTGACTCTCGATTCCTTGTGAGAGCACCAGCCTGCAGTGCCGGCCTCACCCCTGCCAGGGAGCCTCGGTGCTCACCTTCGGCCCGTTTCCCTTCCCTGCAAAGGAGGGTCAGCGTGTGCAGGGCGGACCCAGCAGGCAGTGTACCGCTTTCTACAAGAACAGCGATTACGTTTTGCCCTTTGAGTAGAAATCAAACATTGCCCATAGGGGGCCGCACCTGTCTTAAAGGGAAAGGTATCACTGACTTACTTTCTTCAGAGTCATCTAATTGTGATTCCCAGATTCCCAGAAGCTAGCCAGCTGCATATATTTGACCAATAAGTAAGATGAATGCTACTCTAATTAAAATGCCCAGGTTTATTGATGGCTACCTTCCTGCGATTACTTAAGTCGTGGGGTTCAAAGCGATTCTCAGGTGTTGCCGTGCTGTCGGTCACGAGTGCCACACCTGCTGTCCCCAAGACCAGTTTGCCTCCGTCACCGCTTCCACCCGGGGCCTCTGTCGGCCTCACTGAGCACATGGCTGCAGCTGGTCCCTGGGTGCCAGGGACATGTGCCAGGTGCCCTGAAACGTGCCTGCAGAGTCTCTGGATCAGGAGACTCCTGCAGAACTGGCGTA